CAGGTTTTATTGCATTGCCTTATCAACATCCCCTGGATAGTTTTATTTGAAAGAAGATTTGGAATCACATTCTTATTGTTATTGTATTGTAAGTGTATCATATGTACAATGATTGTTAGTTTTTTAAGATTTAACTGTAATTTGATTGTCCCAGCATTTCAACATCACCATATTTAAAAGTGTTCTCCACATTGAGCTGAAAATGTAATTAAGTAGTAAATTTATCATATTTTCTTTGTTTCTTTTGTTACTTACGATTTCCAGTTGTCATCTCTGACTTACAATTAGGTATTAGGAACAATTTGACCATGTTGATACATCAAGCATCTTTATTGTATGAGTTATCACCTTTTGAATTTACTACATTGCACGTTATTTTGTACTCATTCAATCTTTTAACTCGTACGTCAGATGTTTCTGTTGATATTTCATGTTCAATTTTCAGTGACGTGCATGAAATGTGCTGCGAAAAAATCCCACATTTAATGTTTAGATGAAATTCATAAAGTAATAGATATTATGATTTTAAGCGGCATTTAAATCTATTAACACTATCTTTAATTTAACTTGAGTGAATTATTCCGAAGGACCAGACAAATTAATTTACCTTGGAGTGTGGATCGAAGAACGTTTTACAGCTGTTTCACAGTACTTGACGCTTGTTTTTGTGAAGGATAAAAACGGGAAAAGATCCCTCCGTAGTAATGGAAACAACTAAATGACTAAAAACTTAAAGACTAGGTTTTAATAAATATGGTCAGAAGATGACGTAAATGGGCAAAGTCTATCACTTTCAACATTGGCATCAGCGTTTAACTTTGTCAAACTTCAACACGATGTATGCTGGAATCACTTTCTCTTTTATCATAATACTCGCAAAATGTTTGCTATATATCCAATTATAACGTTATGTGTATTATGCCAGGAACGACGTCGGATCAAACTCGGGTGTTATCAAGATTTTTTTCTTTTGTGTAGTATTTCTGCGTGTGATACATGCATTAAATGTAAAAAGGTATGTACTATTTTTTGTTATTATTATTGAAATCAAATATTGATGATTGTTCTATCTTCAGAGACAATAACATATCATCCTGATCAGACAAATGGGAAGTATATAAACAACGTTCGAGTCTACCAAGAACTCCTCATACATAATTTTAAAATAAATAGAGCATGTACATCTAGATAAGCTGCTGGTCATCTTACCTGCTTCCTTTATACATGTTATTCAATTTTTGAGTATTTGTACATTGAGATGATCCGCTAGAAATCTTACGTGATCTATTCATACATGTTTGAACAGAATCTGATCCCTAATCAGCCACCTAGATACGGTGGCACAAAGGTGACATGTGTGTGTTTTTATTTATCTCGTGCGCACGTGATAGCTATATCGTGGCCACGAGATACTATGTTGTGGCCACGAGTTACTTAGTCGTGGCCACGAAATAGCTAAGTCGTGGCCACGAGATACTATGTCATGGCCACGAGATAAATAACCAATCAGATTACACCACCTATATGAATTTCTCTAATTAACTAGATATGTGCTTTAGTACAAGGATGCCCCTACTTCACCAGCCTGTAAAAGTGCCATTTATACAATTCATTGATTCGCTCATCTGGAGACATGCTGCTTTAAAAATCATAAACACAATTTGTGGACACTATGCATATATAAAGTGTTATTAAAATAATTTGGCAGGTTTTTTTTTAAAGTACAACATATAATTTTTAATAATTTAAGTTTTCACTCACCGCGACATGAATATGCAAGGAATCCGTATATACATGATTGGCAAAATAAAAAAAGTTGAGTTTTGTATATATATATATATACTATACAGATGAAGACAAGTGCATAACTCGTATTAATAACAAATATTTTTATTGATCGAGACAGCCAACTATCGTACATACCATGAAATTATTTAAACTATTTTAAATACTGTTCGTGTTTCCGTGCTTTCTTTGTGCGTACTACAGTTTGGCTTACAAAGTAAAGCGCCATATACTATACGTATGCTTTATAAAATGTTAAGATGTAACTATAATTAGTTTTGTTCTCCATGTAAGTCGTGAAACAAAAGAATTTTAAGTATTGATTGCAGGTACAAATTTAGAAAGGTTAAATTGGACAATGTTCTAAACATTCCAAAACGATCATAAACAAGGAAGGGGTACTTTAGTGATGCCTCTATTGTATACAGGATCAATCGGTTTATTTTTTTTCTTTTAACATGGTGAACATCAAAACAAAGCCCAAGATAGAATCTATGAAAATGTCACATACAAATAGATCTCTTTGTTGATAAAAGCATTGTTAACATGTTTTAGTGTAACAAAAGTTACAGTATTTACAGTTTATCGTAATTATGCCATCGTACCATCTCCCCCACCCTAGACATTGTATTTAGAAAACTGAACATAATATCGAAGTTGAATTTATAGCGTGCAACAACTTGATATGTTATTAATAAGTTAACTCTGTCAATCTTCAGTCAACACCATTGTTTAACTTCCAGTCATATGATATATAATATTGTTATTTTATGCATAGCCATAAAATCTGCAACAATTTGATGTACTTTAAATACAAAATATACGACATTATTAAATACACTTGCTACAGTGTACATATTTCAAAATTATGATAATGTTCAAAAGCACTAAATATATTTTCCATATAAGACAAATCTAAAGAATTAAGGTGGAAAATGAAATTTGCTGACGATAAGATACAAAAAACAATGAGGACCTCCCTCAATACCGGTATGCTCTGCATATTTTAATTAGTTAAGCGTTAGGTTCGTTTCCAGATCTTTTATTTTTGAAACGAAAGTCACTGACGTGTGATAAGAAGGTATCGGGAAGGTATATAGAATAATGCTATACACTAACAGTGATATGATGCACTTTTCCTTCCAAGATTAAATTACTGAAATACTTAGTTTAAAACAGCTCAGAAATGTTTCTTTTTTCAACAGAAAATAAAAGCTGAAGACCGCTTTAATATGGAAAGAATTATGTGATACTTTTTCGAAATAGACGATAACGAAAAAGATGACCAAGCAATGCAAGTTAAAAGGAAGTAAATTTTAAATACTCCATATAAAACAAAAGTGGCATTCTTCTTGAGAAAATCATGAAGGCCTACCTATTAAATATTTTATGTTTACACATTATTCTTAAGTATGGAAAATTAAAGATTAAGTTTCGCTGAAGTCACAATGCCTAGTGTCTAGGTTAATAACATATTGTGCAAGCTATAATATCATCAAAAATAATTATTTAAATTATGACAGGTTCTTAAAGTCTACCATTCACAAACGTTGCATATGTTTTTTTTTTCTTTTTTTTTCTTTTGAACATTAAATCAAAAGACCGGAGTGTTTCTTATCTAAATTATGAATGGCATTTGATTTCAAGTGTCAAGTTAAAACACGACGGTTTTATTTCTAGTTGTAGCTTTGTATCAATCTGCGGTAATGTATTATTAATTGATAAGTTGTTTGAGGTAAAAAAAGACGTTCGTACTGTTTAACATTAACTATCAATCTAAGACAGTTATTTATGAATTGTCATTAGAATGGAACATTTTATTTTTGCTGATTCCCTTAAAACATTGATATTATATCATTGAATGTTAATGATATCTAACAATATCTCTGTGACGAATCTGATTACCAATATTTATTTATCATAATGCTTTTATGTGTGTAAATATACTTGTATCTAAATACCGTAAGCATCAAATAATAACCAAGACATCATGACAATTATTATTTTTCATCTTTATTTAAATTGGAAACAGAAGCGCAAACAGACCACCAGACAACCTGACAGCATTAAACCAGTAAACTTTCCTTACAATTTAGTTATAGCAACTATTGGCGAATGGGTAATAAACTTTTCAAAACAGTTAGGGGTTATTATTATGCTGAAAACGCATGCTAATATACGAAATAAAATTTCTTTTAATTCAAAAAGTGTTTAAAATTATATACATTGAAATGTTGCAACATACCATTTTATTATATTATATCACTTAAATTTGAACTTTTGATACATTATGTACTGGTATATTTATCATCCATCATAGCTTTATTCATTTATTAAAAGAAGGTGTCAAAATGGCCAGGTTTTATTGTATTGCCTTATCAACATCACCTGGATAGTTTTATTTGAAAGAAGATTTGGAATCACATTCTTATTGTTATTGTATTGTAAGTGTATCATATGTACAATGATTGTTAGTTTTTTAAGATTTAACTGTAATTTGATTGTCCCGGCATTTCAACATCACCATATTTAAAAGTGTCAGATGTTTCTGTTGATATTTCATGTTCAATTTTCAGTGACGTGCATGAAATGTGATGCAAAAAAAATCGCACATTTAATATTTAGATGAAATTCATAAAGTAATAGATATTATGATTTTAAGCGGCATTTAAATCTATTAACACTATCTTTAATTTAACTTGAGTGAATTATTCCGAAGGACCAGACAAATTAATGTACCTTGGAGTGTGGATCGAAGAACGTTTTACAGCTGTTTCACAGTACTTGACGCTTGTTTTTGTGAAGGATAAAAATGGGAACAGAGATCCCTCCGTAGCAATGGAAATAACTAAATGACTTAAAACTTAAAGACTAGGTTTTAATAAATATGGTCATAAGATGACGTAAATGGGCAAAGTCTATCACTTTCAACATTGGCATCAGCGTTTAACTTTGTCAAACTTCAACACGATGTATGCTGGAATCACTTTCTCTTTTATCATAATACTTGCAAAATGTTTGCTATATATCCAATTATAACGTTATTAGTATTATGCCAGGAACGACGTTATTTCGGATCAAACTCGGGTGTTATCAAGAATTTTTTCTTTTGTGTAGTATTTCTGCGTGTGATACATGCATTAAATGTAAAAAGGTATGTACTATTTTTTGTTATTATTATTGAAATCAAATATTGATGATTGTTCTATCTTCAGAGACAATAACATATCATCCTGATCAGACAAATGGGAATCTAAACAAATGAGATGGAACCATCGGTAATATTTATCATAATTTTGTATTTACATTCCTTTATAGATTACGCATAACATATAGTTGCAAAATAATTATTACTTATTTTTACCTTATTTATATGCTTGTTTTGCTGATTTTTGAATTATCCATACGGAATTTTATCATTGTATTTTCAAGTAAAAAGCAGAAATATTGCGCAAAAAGAAATATCAAATCGATTTTTTAAATTCATTCATAGGAAAGCAAACCTATAAAACTATTCTAATAATTGTTACAGAAGATCTGTGATGTCACTAGAGGGCATGAACACTACCTTTGTCATATATTATTACTGGAACAAGCTTCGCCCATCGCCTTGAAGGCCATAATTAAAGGGAAAGAGAAAAAATGTGGAAAAAATATTCGTATTTTGCTAAATGAGAATAGAGATGCGTTCAAAACCAAGTACGAAACAGAGTTTCTTCAATTAATTCAAGAAGATGGTGTCAATGACGACATTGATACGTGGGACACACTTCAATTATGTGCTGTGACATTAGTTTTGTTTAAATCTGATCTAACTGAACCAGAAGTAAAAGCTATTCAATGTATATATGATCAGAGGAAAGATATTGAGCAATACACCGAACGTGCCTCCCTAACATTCAATACCTACAACGAGAAACAACATTTATTACACGATCAATTACTCGAGTTGATTAGGTTCATAGACGACCAAGCTAATCTTGATTGTAAACGTATGATGTTTTCATTTGAATCAAAATCAATGAAATTAAGCGACACACAGATAGACCAACTAACACAGACAAATGATATCAAAACTCATCTTAAAATTGCAATTGATCTAGATATCGTAACAGAGAATCATATCATTGGCGAAGAGAACCACCAAAAGCTCCAGTCCAATGGTAAGTATTTGTGTTACAGTATGAATTTAATTTTATTCATATGGTTATCTTGTATCCAAATACATTACTTCATGAACATGTTTGTATGCAAGTTTTCAAATAGTGTTTATCTTTAGCTAAAGCGATAGAATTGTTTAAGATAGCCAGGATCGAATATGAAATTAAGTAAACATTCATGTTGTATATTCTAAATTTGTATTCAGCATAAGTCAAACTGATACAATACATGGTCAATCAAATGATATATAATACAATTATATGCTATATGTAAAGTATATCATAAAATATGAGATCGTATTCAATTTGATAATGACACGGGCAGTAAAGCGCCTCGGTTAACAGTATTTTTACGAGGGATGATACTTTTACTGTTTCTCACAAAGCCATTTGTTATTTATTCTATTACCCCGAACGAATACTGCAATGATCTGAAAACATCAACTGAATCTACCTGTAACAAAATTGAACCAGGATTAACAATAACTCAACTGACCCTGCCTTACAAGTTGTAAGAAGACTTAAAACGTTATTTTTCTTTTATTCTTTAAGGGAATGATGATTGAGTTTATCTACCAGACATAAACAGACAATAAGCTGTGTTTCATATCCATTTCGATAGTATCCCACAACTGTCATGTTTCACTGATTAAATTCGTTTTTTTTTCAGCTTTAATCGTCTGCTTGTTCCATTTTGACACATAGTAAATCCAATGCAATAACTTCCTAAGAAAACGAATTTTATTTCTTACTATTCAATAATTCAACCAAAAGACACTTAAGACGCGAAAAACTTCAAGATGCAAACAACTAAAGTTTCTGTCTTGAAATAGGTTATCTGGTAATGGTCCTTCGTGGTGAAAATCGAAAAATAAGAGGTCGAATGGCTGCCATTTTTGTTTTAGAAAATAAACCAAGTGACCAGATTTTATACTCTTAAAAAGAACTATTGCCTATGTAACAGTACACATTTCTTATTTACGTAGTTCACTTGCATTGACTGTATCCCAGTCACTTATGGGAAATTAACGTTTCCAAAACGTGAGGGGTAATAATAAACAGGAACTTGATATAGCTGAATTATAATCTTATAAACAAAATACAATATACTTCAGGCCAAATGTTCACTGAAGAACTTCAGAACAAAAGTGTCTACATCAATGAGTCAGCTATTTTGACATGTAAACTCAACCTTCCAACAGATGAAAATGTTGAGTGGAGGAAAGATTACAAGCGGGTTGAAATTTCAAACAATTTAATGGTCATGAGCAAGAATGGCAGTCATTGGTTAGCGATTTCCTGTGCATCGTTGGAAGATACGGGTCAATATACGTGTGTATGTGGCCATATTTCAACTACAGCTGATCTTACTGTTATAGGTATGCTTTATTTGAATTATAACAACAATGCTTGTGTTTTATATCAATGTTTAAAAACTGATAAAGAGATAATCATACCTTACCATGGCATTTACTATTCATAACTTTAAAAACGTTCAATCTAGTAAGATAACCTAGTATATGAAAATTATAACCAGAGAACAAAAACTTTACTTAAGTTTGATCGTCTAACAAATTTATAATTTGTTATAACAGTAAATTTGAACAAAAATAATCCAAATGACAATACATTAAGTGAAATGTAAATGTATGATAGCAACATGGGTAAATATTAGTAACAGTTTATTCCATAACCACATAATAATTGTTACTTTGGTTACAAGGACTAGAGGCATAAATATTTGTATATTTACGAACAATATTCAGCTAAGAAAATTTTGTTATGACAACAACATTTTTGGTTTTTATCAGTACATCATTTCGAACGACAAAACGTTTGCTTCAAACAATAAATCATTTTAATGTACGATTCATTTTCAATACAAATAAGTGTGTATTTTGTACATACATAATCGCAATATTAGCTTTAATCTCGTATTAGAAATTATGTAAGATTCGTTCATTTATCATTATCCCAATCTTTTGCAACAGATGCAGTATTAAATGTGGTCGTTCATTTCCCAGTCAAGATTGAGGTTATTGAAAATGGAAACATTGATATAGAGTGTAAGGTGAACCTACTAACGACTAAACCCGTTTGGCGACACAATGGGACACTTCTACAATCATCTGGTAGAAAGGTTATACTAACAAAGGGTACTACACACAAATTGATGATCACGAATGTAACTTTACATGACGAGGGTGAATATACAGTTGCCTTTGGGAATGCCTCATCTAAAACAACATTAAATATACAACGAATTATATTTGAATGTTATCTTCGTTTTTGTATTTCTGACACAATTTATAAGTTGGTTATAGTTTATAAGTCGATCAGGTCCTTTTTATGTAAGTCATAATTGTATTTATTAGGTTTGTGCAAGGCTGGTAAATTTAATGAAGCAAACAATGCTATTTATCTAATACCAATTTGCAAGATGCCAAAAACAAGATTGGTGCAATTTATTATAGGAGAAACAGAGCTTATTCACAGAAAACAGATGACACAAGAACTGTACAGAAATTGGATAAGAGGCGCTCTAGCGTTAAAATATTTGAAAATAGGTTTAGAAGGTTTTTCTGACAAGGCTGTTACCAAACAACATGAGGATCTAATGAAAACACTTGGAAACGCATGTAAAACTTGTACAGCGGAAAGTCTTCTCCCACATAAACAAGATCAATGCCCACGACAAAGAAAATATCAATGTTTATGTGCCAAGAGTCAGAAAAACAAGTCAAGACAAATGTGCCCAAATGGGGGATTTTGTGGCAACGTTTATAATCGAATAGTTTGTAATCATCGCTTTCAAGATCCATTATTCACAAACACGGATGTCCAGAAATGGAGCAGCGATCCGTGGAGTGTTGCTACATGCTTTATAAATACTACTGGCTACAAAGGCAAACAATCAGCTAAAGAGGTCGACTGCTCTGGTTTACTTAGTATGTGTATAAACAACATTAATATAGAAATAATGCTTGGAGAAGTTATCATCGATGGGAAAGTAGATGCGTTTTCACAGGTAAACATCTTCACCACAGTAATCCCCTATAGATGTGTATAATCTCGATTGAACATTCTTGTAAATGTATGATATTTAGCCTTTGTTGTGCAGTCTAGAACAGCCTTTTCGAATTGGCTTTAAAGTTGTTTAATTTATAAGTGAAGTGTTTTAGCGACAAATTAAAATGAGACATTAAATATTGAAGTTTTACTTTTATAGGCACGGGAAGCGCGGAATGACATTCTTCACAGTCCAAATTATGAACTTTCTGAAAATCAACTAAACAAAATTATCAAAATGTTCAAAGAAGTACTAAAAATCAAGGACAAACATGGCAATGCACCCCTGAAAGGTGAACCAGGCGTTGCAAATGCATTACATTTACTAGATATGGTAAATATCCTATAAGAGTAAAGTAGTGATTATAAAGACAAAAATAGCCAAAATGGGATACATTTTATTGGCTCATTATGTAATTAATCGTATTTCTTTCTTAATGTATCAATTAAGAATATATTGATCAATTTTGTAATATTTGTTGCACAATATACTTTAGCAATTTCTAAATTCTTAACTATTTGTTATTTTTGTTATTTGGTAATAGATGTATGATTTGTAAGAATACGTTCATGTCGTTTTGCATAAGTGTTGAAACACATTTATCGTCTATGATAATAAGTACAATATTGACTATCATCATTATAGTAAATATATTATTTACTATAATAGTAAGTACAGTCACATTTATTTGTTCTAACACCGTGAGTTGGTTACTTCTTGGCTTTTCACACATATACTCAGTCAGTTATTTGAATATTAACAGATTGCAACAATTCAGGATGAAAAAATGATCAAAAAAGCTTATTACATGTAAACAATTTCGCAGTGTTTTTAAAAAGATTAAACTGGTAAAATTTTAGTTCTTTTAGACCATGTATTGCTTCTTTGCTTTCAAGTGATACTTAAGGTACTTCCATTCTTATAAAATTGACCCAATATGCATTCTGCCATTTTATTGTGACATGAAAAAGACAAATTCTTCAAAGGAGTCCTGTCATAAATTTCTTACAGGTGCAACAGAATCAGATTGAGATAAATCTTGAACATGAGATGATAGAACTGAGAGAGCATGGGATGTCTAGATTAGAAGAGAAATACAAAACAGCACAAAAACAGGCAAGTTGTTTAGCTAATGCATTTGAGTATTGTTATAACATGCTTTTACCACCGATAAAGTAAGGCAATTTTAAAGTAAGGCAATATTGATTTTCAAGTCTCATAAAATGGATAATAAATTCAAAAGGTCTTTGAAAAATACTGTGATTCTTAAGGTGATAGTCTTTTTATTGTATATGAATCATTACTGAGAAAAAGATGTTAACACTTGTCTTTCTGTTAGCTATCATGCACGCATGATTATATAGCCTCGTTTAGATTTCTTTAACTAAAAGAATACACTGGGACGAACACTGCATTTGTGAGTAATTTAAAAAAGAATATTTTGAATGGCATAAAAGTGTTATTACGTAAATATACTTTGTCGTCATCAACAGTTCTTACCTTCTGACTTCTATTTTAGGTAATCAAATGTAATATTTGGACGGTGGTATCCAGTGTTCCGTTAGTATTATAATGAGAATAAGGATTTAAATGAAAATTAATAAAATAAATATAATTTAAATGAATTCTTTCTTCGTCATGTTTATGCACGATAAACGCATGATTCGAATAATATATATAATGTAACACTTCTTTCTTCAGCATGAATTGAAACTTCAACTGTTAGAGCAACAGATAAAAGGTTTATCGTTACGTTTTAATTTGAACAAATAAGAGCTTACTCTTATACGAAAATTCTACTAGGTTATTAGACCATGATTGAATTCAAAACTAAGTAGTATCGAGATACATGTAACAGTGTTGTTAAAAATTCTGTATCCGTTTGAATTACATTTATTCTCTTAAATTGCACAAATTCGTATTGCCCCTCACCGCTGTGGGTTTGAATCCCGACAGGGACTTATGATTATTTCTTGTGAGGAAGCTATCCGGCTAGCTTATGGAACGTCGGTGGTTCTACTCAGGTGCCCGTTCGTGCCTGAAATAATGCACGGAAGGGCACCCGAGGTCTTCCTACGCCAGTAAAGCTGGAACGTCGTCAAATGACTTATACTGTGTGGGTGTGACGTAAAACTCAAACAAACAAACACAAATTCATAAATAGGTTCCTTTTAATAATTAACGGATGGATTTGACAAAACAATATGTGTAACTGACATACGGTTTTTTATATATTTAAAATAAATTGCAGCTACATAGAGAATCACATTTTGAAATAAAAATGATGGTTCAATAGACATATTTCAGAAAATAGGTGTGTGAGGATTTAACACAGTTTATATAAATGAGGTCATAAAGTGACATTTCCTTAAGAAAAACATCGGTATTTCTATAGAAAATCAACAATTAAAAGAACATCAGATGACAAAAAAATCTTTGCTTGTAAAAGAGTAATCAATAAATATTTTTAGTAATAATGTTAAGAATAGAAAATATTCCGGAGTTTGCAGACTTTTACTTTTTGAGTAGGCTTGTAACTATGAACAAAATAAGTGTTGTTGTTGTTTTAAAGTCACAAACACACAAGTGTCGGTCTGTCAAAATTATCTTGCAAAATATTTGGTCTGAATAAGTATTCTTCCCATTCAAATAACTTAAAGATAGGACATGCATATACTATGCTTAGCATTTTTAAATATTATTTCCATAATTTTTTGTTATTGCTCGAGTTGTGATTTTATTTACAGATAAAGAAAATGAGCTTTGGCTTATGCTAAATGTTAGATCCGCGGAAAAAGAAAAGAGGCTTAAAGGTACTTAATGAAATAATAACTTGAAAATCTGTGAATTGATACCTCTTATCTGTAAAGAGTTGTTAACATTGAAAAGAAGACAAAAGGAAAACAGATAAAGAACATTGTTGTTATTTTATACATTTACTTTTTTGAGGACTAAAATGAGAATTAACTAAAGTGAGTTGAACTAGCTATATTTGAAATACATATATCACTTTTTCATAGTCAAAATACCACTTCGCTAACTTTTCCTTGTTGTTCTTGTATAAAAACTGCGCACGTAGGTGTATATTGACGAAGACGGAAACATGCTTTTACAGATATAATAACGCAAGCATGCACTTTGTTTTCAATATGCATGACTCATGGCGCCATGTATAACGGATACAAACGGGAAAGCATTTCGAAACCTGTGTTACATTCATAAGAAAAAATAACGAAACGCAAATGTAACTTATTTGAGAAAAGCGCTAATACACATGAAATTTGTGCTTGCATTAACATCTGCATATTTTGATGCTCGTTAAACTGTGTATGTTTTTTTTTTCAGAGCCCTTCTTGCTTGATCTACAGATAAAAGTTATTGATAAAAATGGTGAAAAAAGTGTCGAAGGGAATCAACGTGTTTATGAAGTAATGAGAGACTATATTAGGCACAACGATAGTATGACTGGTTTGCCTTTTGGTGTAAGATCAACTGATACACCAGTCTATCACCTCGTAGATTTCATCAAGGCCATAGAGAAATGCCGTATCGTTGATATTTCTCCCACTGACCAATTGTCAATAGACATACAAATCAACTGTCAAAATTCGAAGGCCATGGAAGACTTTCTTACGGCTGTCATCAGTAACGGATTTCAACAAGAACTGTTTGAGATTAGACGATGGCTACATGTGCAGTATGACATTACATCGTATGACATAATTGCCAATTGCTCATCAAATGGCATAGAGAAAGCAAAACAACGTCTGCGTAAGTTAAATATAGATAATAATGATATATGATATAATTTATATTTAACAGCGGCGATTTCTGCTTCTGCTACAGTCGGTGCATTTGTAATCACTGCATATTAAAAGCATTAATTGACTGATTAAATCAAAATCAATTTAAATAAAAAACAACTTTTGCTCCATATCATTAAGATATCTGAGGATTTTTGAAAAAACTTAATACGTTGATATTTTTTATTCTGTAAACACAAAAACATGTACAGATATTTGAAAGCGTAAATCTACTGTCCTCAGACTTTACTGACGTAACCAGAACTATGACTTGTGCCGAGCATCAAAATACACCATTTACTCTCTATTGTCCTGACCATGACACGTTTTTATGTACAGCATGCAGGGAATCAAGACATGGGTAATTATAAATTTCTCTTAATCAGTAATTTGTAGTGGTTAATATGGTACAAAATGTATTTCATTAAACAAACGAATTTTAAAATCGTGCGACAATGACTGACAACTTATCTGTCAGAAACATTTAAGTTTGATTTCTCTGAAATTACTTGAAAAAAAAAGTATAGCTTGACTAAAAAAACTAATCATTTGATACCTTTCCAACTGCCATAAAGGATATGTGTATCTCTGAAATAGATTTATAACTAAGACTTATCTGAAAATCCAATTGTTGGTAAACTATGATTAATGAAAACAAAAATGTCAGCAAAAGTTAAATCTCTTTCATACGACAAAACAACTATTATTTGCTCGACACTTTTATTCCTTATTTTAGCTGAAAGTATGCAAAAATGACTGACAACTTATCAGTCAGAAACATTTAAGTTTGATTTCACTTTAAAAAAATTGTAAACATATTTGAACAATTTATAGTTTGATAAAAATAATCATCTTATACTTTTATTGACCCGAAACTTTTACTCCTCATTTTACCATACTGAAATTATATAAATTTATTTGGTTAGTAAGACGAATGATACATAATAATTATATTCCCCTTGATAACAAGTCTTCTTGTTAAAGCAATTGACCGAAGTCTAAAAAAACAGACAGTTGTCAATATCAACAAATATGTCTGTCACTTGGTTTAACAAACTGGCAAATGATAGCAGGGAAGGGTGCTGACCATTTGAACAAATGCTTCTATATAAACATTTTTTCATACATTCGTTTATAATAGCTGCCATATTTTTACACGCCAGGTTTTTTGCATAATTATGCAACCCATATCTCTTCGCGCTTTAAAATTAATCCATAACAGAAATTAATCGAAATTTAGCGTGTAACTAGTGTTTCCCCAATAAAAGTACATACGATTATAAACGAAATGGATATAATATAAAAGTGAAAAATATGTGTATGAATATACCCAGAAATATATCTTATGTTAGTAAAAGCGCAAGTTTTTTTCGTACATACTGCTGCATACAATATCTGGAACAAACCTTACGACACAAAGTAGTTCTCAAAACAGCGTAAAACAAGAAATGTCAAACTACACATATACCCCCAATCTAGATGTTTTCTTCAACATTGAAATACCTTGTCTCACTATGCCCACCAGGAAAATCAGTTGGTTATAGTAAAATTCGAATAATGCTGACTATTTAAACTTATAGCCACTTATATTAGATATTAAGAGAAAACATTATGTTATGCTGACCATTTAAACTAATATTAGGATCTGCTGTTAAGTTAATCTTATAGTGAAAATTGCTTACCCGTTATGTTAGATAAATAGAAGAAATTGTGTTATGAATTTAGACGTAAATTTCTTATTTTTTAACAATGTTAGTTAAAACATTAATAAAACCAATGATGACCAAGTAAAAATCTAATAGAAGTTACATAATTGAGTTTAGCAGTACTTTCAAAATGAACAATTTTGACCATTTAGATTTATTAATGAACTATATTTAGTTTATAGAGAAAACCTTTTTATTAGAAATAAAATGCGTATTTTCATTTTCTGTATGTTCACTTTAAAAATTTATTTTTCATTGCAGTGAAACATGTTTTCCGTATTTTCACTTGTGTCTCGCCGGACAACTTTTTCCTCTAAATGCAGCCAATATACAAGATATTTCAATAATGTAATGTCAAAAAGAGATACATGAATAAAATAATACCACAATCATAAAATATTTATTTTCCTACCACTCGATAAAAATAAATCCTGTATTTATAGGGAAAAAAATGAATATCCTCTGTGTACTACTGTCCAATTAAATATTTTTTGCATCTTTTAAAAGTCAACATATTAGCATTTTCATCTTATATATTTAATCTGTTTTTAAAGTTTTACATAAAAGAATTCATAACATGTTCCGTGTATGTTATATGTAACCCTTTAAGCATTATAAAATGTTACTTTTATTAATTTTTAATTTGGTTCAGACGTTTTCAGTATACAAAAACAGAAACAAAGGAAAAAGAAATCTATTGACAAAACTAATGTTTTTTTTTCAATATTCTATCATGTAAAACTCTATATAATCCAAAGGGTTACAATGTGACAGTGCGATAATGCGATGACGACAATACGAAAGTGCGATGGCGACAATGCGATAGCGCGATGGCGACAACGCGATAGTACTATCGCACTTTCTTATTGTCGCCATCGCATTGTCGCACTGTCGTCATCGCATTATCACATTGTTGCCATCGCATTGTCGCATTATCGCACTGTCGCCATCGCACTATCACATTGTCGTTTGTTAATCTCGGGTACATGTTTTCAAATGTACATTTAAAATTTTTTTTTTGCACTCTTATTGTTTAATAAAACTTGGTTATATATGCATTCATAATATGGAACAGATTGCATTTATTCTTTTCCCAGTAATGACGGCATACATTGTAATTATGAACCCATTTACGCTCGATACTTACGCTCGATTTACACACCGATTGCCGCCTCAAATCACTATAAAAGGCGGCAATGAGCCATTCTATTATAATAATTAGATATAAATAAACTTAATCAGGAAAACAACAATGATATTTCGGATAGCAATTTAAAAAAAATCATTAGAAAATTGCAGTTGTAATGTCACAAGGCATATTAAAATATATTGGCGAATATTCCCTTTCCATAGGTATTGTCTTTGTTCAAACCTTAACGTACACGCCCTTTAAAATACATATTGCATTAATAGTTATTGTTCATAAGTTAATTCAATTTGAAATTAATCCGTTGTTTGTTAGTAAGTAAGTAACGACTTTTATTTAAGGTGGCTTACACATTTGGCTTCCAAGTGGATGTCAGCTGAAAGTACATAATTACAGTGGCAAAAAACAGTTTACATATACACCATAAAATACACAATGTATATACACAGACGTCATATTGAAATGTGAGCCATTTATTAAATGTCTATAATTAAAGTCATGTCATTAAAACTAGTGCAACAGTCAATAGAACTTTCAGCACTATGCTAGATGATTGTATAGCTAGTGTTTGTCTATATGTTTGTTTGTGATATATGAATGTAAATGGACATTGTGTCATAATCGTTTAGAAATAATCGTTTTTCTATTAATACAGTACATGTCTTGGAATAACACAAGTTGTATCTGAAAGGTCTTACGTTGAACAGAAACGTCGTCTCAACATCAAAAGAAGAAAAGGAACTTATAACGTGAGGATACAGAATACTTTGATAAATAGAGACAACAATGATCAATTTGAGTGTGTTATCACTAGTATCTGCATGCTTCCTAAAAGTGAAGTTCTCCTTGCTGATAATTGGAATAACAAACTGAAGAAATTGGACAGTTCATACAAGGTAATAAATCACTGTGATGTACCTGAGTATCTCTATTCTGTATGTTATATAGGCAACGATACAGCTGTTGCTAGTTTAGGAGCCAATATCATACAGTACGTGAATGTGTCAGGTAAGATAAACCTAAGGCAATCAGTAACGCTAGATCATGAATGTTACGATATAGCTTGTCACGGTGACACGCTCTATGTTGATAGTGGAGAAACAATTTACAAATATGACAAATACTGTAAACAAAAGCACGTTCTATATCATTACCGTAAAAATCTGGGCATGTTCTACAGAGCCACAATTGCTATAAGTGAAAATGGTGAGCGAATCTACTTCACGACAGTTAGATGTCTAACTACCATAGATGCCAACGGAAAACTTATCAGTTCACAATTTAGAGATTTTAACACACGTGATATATGTATTGCTGGTGAAGGTATTGTTCTTGTATTAGATGCAACAAACAATGTTCATCAGCTGGATTATACAGGACAAAAGCACCGGACTGCAGATAGCATGCCATTAACTCCTTTTGAAACGTATTATATGTGTTTCGACAGAGAAAGATGTAGACTTATTGTTGGTAGTGGAGACAAGATACATGTTTACAAATGCGAATTTTTGCCAAGTTAGTTAATAAAATTGTTTTTGGTAAACCAAGAATCAAATGAAAAATGCATCGCTTATCCACTTTTGTTTATCAAATTTATAAGTTTGTATGTTTGCTTATTTCTTCATCGGGTCATTACTTATTATTTTGATATCGCACTTATGTTCCTTGAATGTATTTGTCAGTACTTGTATATACTAGATAACTTTTTCATAATGAAGGGTGAATAGTTACGAGTTTGAAACGTTTTTGAATCCAAATCGAGACTATTGAACAACAAGACAATCTTGTTGAAGGACTAACGAATGAATTGATATTGAGATTGATTTATCTCGCATTATGTCATTTCTACTAAGGCCTAAAATAGAATTTAATGTATAACCCCTTCCCTACCTTCCTAACAAATTTGCCCCTACCCAAAAGATAATTTCAGATTCTAAGGGGATCAAAGTATTTTTTTTCAGAATACAATAGGTACAATCTAATCTGATATCTTAGACAGCTAGCACAGTTAATCCATTGTTGCATAATATTATGTCAGTTGTGAATATGGGTATGCATGTACATTAATATTAAATTAATTTTAATAATTCATTATACATATATGCAGATTATTTATTATTATGCACATATAAAACAATTATATTCCTACCTACCTACCTACCCAACCCTAGTTTTAATGGGTCGGGAAGGAGAAACAAACATAATTTTATTTTTTGGCCTAACAGTCCTACACGTCTACATTGTCTTACTATCTTAGCAATAGGTTTAAGGAAAAATAATAGCTCATATGAAAAGTCATTCCAATTTATCAACGAAAAAAGACACAAAATAAGCATTCATAAATAAAGCAAACTTGAAACATTTGATCTTGAAGATCAATGTCAGTTATGAGAGAAGGCCAAGTTCAGTATGTCTTGTCCAAAGTGCTGTTGTGTCCAAGTATAAAAGTTATCCATTTGGAAATTGCAAAAAGATATGTTACCAACCTTAAAACTTTCGGAAGGCAACGGTTACAGCAATGGCAACAGCAACAACAACATGTCTGTAACAATAGCTCTTTTTCTCCGAAAACGTCGAACTAAAAATAAGAAAAAAAAATTATTTCATTTAAAGAAAACTATTCTTACGTAATAAAATGTCTTTGAATTATGCTTTATGAAGTTTAAAAAATCATATCTCAGCAACCGGAGAGACTCATTCATTTCTTTATTTTGGCTACTTTTGCAAATTCCATACATGTTTACTGTCTGGTGTCAGCTCAGACGGGAAATCATTTCAGGACCAAGAACACAGTTCACAAAGTTGTTTAACTTGACACACTTAAAAAATTCATGACCTTCTGTTCATATCAACGTTGTTTATTATATTGAGTTAAAGTCACATCGGCACTATATAAGTCACGTGGTTAGTTCACAGCTTTACTGGTGGAGAAAGACCGCATGTGCCCATTCGTGTCCTATGCACGAGTCTCGGGCCAAGGAAGAAAAAAATATGACCGGATCGATAAAAAAATGCACGTATTAATCTTAAATGTGGTAAAACCGCAAAATCAAACATAATTGTGAAATATGAGCCCCTTAAAAGTATCCTTATAGCTTAAGAGTATATTTTTCAGGGGGCTCTTATTTCATAATTTTGTTTTGTTTTTTTGATACATTAAGATGAACACAGGTTGTTTTGGTTTTTTTTTTCATCAATATGGTCATATTATTTCTTCCCAGGTTTGAAGCCTTTATAACTATTCAGTGTTATCTTTTTTGCAAATTGCATATTTGTAGTCGAGATAATGATAAGAAATTGTAAATTTTAAAATATTAAACATCTGACCATGACAAAATTAAAACTTGACTTGTATTTCTTTTTAAAATACCAGCACATGCAATTTCAACCTCGGAAGTTAAAGTTAAAGTTAGAGCAGAAACTGCAAATTTTCTTTTATTTTCCAAGTTCAAAAAAGATAACTCTGTCAAAATTCATCGGATAAAAAACAAATTCGAACTGGGCTTTTCTGGTTTATACCTGCGCATGCGATTTCAAGCTTCTACATACTTTTCTACAAAAGTAAGAGTGGGGAAACTGAAAAAATCCAACGTTCAAGGGGGATAACTTTGTTCAAAATCACCGAACCATGACCAAATCCAAACTTGACCTGCGTATTCCTATGACATATCTTGGGTAGGACGTGTTTAACTGTTGGTGAAATAACAGGATTTTTTTTCAAAGTTAAAGGGGCATAACTTTGCCAGAAATAATCGAACTGTGACCAAATTCGAATTTGACCTGCGTTATCCTTTGTCGCATCCAGATGTCAAATTTGAGTTGAAAGTGCACAACTGTTGGGGAGATAATGAACGGAAACTGCAAATTTCTTTTTTTTCTTCAAAAGACAAATGGGATAAATCTGTCAATAAATCATCGAACCATGGCCAAATTCGGACTTGACCTACTTACTCATATGACATTCATGTTGAAAGTGTACAACTGTTGGCAAAATTATAAACAGAAAATGAGAATTTCTCTTATTTTTGTCAATATAATTATTGGGGTACAAGGGGCCACAAATCATCGGCCGAATATGAACTTGACCTGGGCACTCCTTACACGTATCCATATGTCTAAATTGAGTCGAATGTGTACAACTATTGGGAAGATAATGAATGGAAACTAAAAATTTCTCTACATCTACATCTTTCTCTGTCGAAACACATAGGTGATTGACTCTGTCAAATATTATCGAACCATGACCAAATTCCAACTTGACCAGCATTTTCCTATGATATATCCAAAATGACAAATTTGTGTTGAATGTATGCAATTGTTGCCAAGATAATTAATAGAAATGGATGATGACGGAATAATGGAACAGTGTAACACTACAGTATATGCCACCAGTCAAAAAATGAAATATCCCTTTTATATCAATCACCAATGTAATGTCTTAACTAAACCTTGAATCGCAAAGTTTGTCTTAGATTTAAACTACGGGGGTCTTTCTCATTCTTTCTGATTCATTGGCACGTCATAGCTTTTCATAGAAGTTAACATTTCTATGATGTTTCATTAAAATCCCTCCAGGCGTCTAGGAGATATTCTCCGGGAAAAAATCTAGATATTTCATCATTTTCAGGTGACCTTGACATTGAATAGATTGACGTTAATTACAAGTGTCACAGATGTTGTCATGATAATAAACATGTGTTATAATCCCTCAGTAAATGATGAAAAATTGGCCCAAATACAAATTTGCATATTGTTATTTGAACTTTGACCCCTGTATGTGATCTTGACCTTATCCTCTTGGACCTGAATTTTGCGTGCACAACTGTTAACATTTGTGCAAAGTAGTATCGAAATCCCTCTATGCAAGTAGCAGTTTTTGCTCTGGACAAGCACTTTTCAATTACCTCTGTTTGACCTTGACTTTTGTCTTAGAGACTTTGTACTTACCCGCGACACAGCTTTTTATATTGGTGAACATTTTATGAAGTTTCATCAAATGCATATAAGAGATGTGCTTAGGACAAAAATTGGACACCTCACGCCGAGTTCCTTTAATATGACCCAAATATTCTAGCCAAATATTCTAGCCAAATAAAGCAAACGTTAAGCAAAAATTATAAATTTGAAATAAAAGGTCAATGTCAGTAATGAATGATTGTCAACTCAAGTATTGTCTAAAGGATTGTAGTGTACAAGTATGAAGACAATCCATTCATAAAAATATAATGACTAATGTTTTTGGACAGAAACAGCAACGGACCACGACTGTTGCAATACCTCAATTTTTTCAATAAACAAGATGGCCCTAGATCGCTCCCCTGACCCATCAAACTCATCCGAGTAATTACTTAGACATGCATCCTGACCAAGTTTGATGACAATTGAGTCAAAAATGTGACCTCAAGAGTGTGAACAAGGAGTTTTCATATTTGGCCAGAGTGACCTTATTTTTGACCCAAGGTGAGCCATATTCAAACTTGACCTTGAAATCATCAAAACAAACTTGCAGACCAATTTCTATGATAGAGTAAACAATATTTTTTCTAATTTTAGCTCCTGTGACCTAGTTTTTCATTAGAGATGACCCATGTTCTAAATTCTTCGAGCAAATGACTAGACAAGCATACTGAGCTTGATGACGATTGAGTCAACAATGTGACCATTAGAGTGTTAACAAGGTTTTTCCATATTTGGGCGGTGTGTTTTTGACCCTAGGTGCCCTTTATTTGAGCTAAACCAATAAATCCCCAATGAACTTTCAGACCAATTTCCAGGATATTTGGATCAAAACAGTAGCCACTAGAGTGTTAAAAGGATTTTTCTATTTTTAGGTTCTGTGACCTAGTTTTTCATCCGAGATGACACATGTTCGAACTCATCCAAAAATACCTAGAAAAGGATTCATAATCAAAATAGACATAGAAATCTTCAAAACAACCATCCTGACCTATTTCCAGATTATCTGGATCAAAACTGCAACCACTAGAGTGTTCACAAGTATTTTTACCCATATTCGAACTTACAGTAGAAATCATCAAAACAACCTTCCTGATCAATTTCCAGGATATTTGGATCAAAACTGTAGCAACTAGAGGGTTAACAAGTATTTTCTATTTTAGCTCATATGACCTAGTTTAAGACAGGAGATGACTCATATTCAAACTTGTCCTAGAAATCATCAAAAAACCTGCCTGGTCAATTTACAGGATATTTTGATCAAAACTGCAGCTACTACTGTTGTTAAAAGAATTCTATTTTTAGCTCCTGTTCCGAAACGACCCATATTCGAATATACCCTAGAAATCATCAAAACAACCTTCCTGACCTATTTCAAGAATATTTGGATCAAAACTGCAGCCACTAGTGTTAACAAGATTATTCTATTTTTAGCTCCTGTGGTCAAGTTTTTGACTCGAGACGACCCATATTAGAACATACCCTAGAAATCATCGAACAACCTTCCTAATTTATCTGCAGAAATGTTTATAATCAAATGTACACCAGTAAATCGAAGAACCTAAGGTGAAAATCTCAAAATCTCACTTTTCATCACAGTAATGCAAACTTAACAAAAGCAAAAACCAAAATGAAAATCCAAAAAGTCACTCATAAATGTCTTTTCGTAATGTCACCGTCGGGATCCTTAGA